CTGCCCCCGCAACCTTTTCTTTCTTTCTTTCTTTCTTTCAACATCTATTATGGCTCTAAATGCCTACAGTTCATTTTTTTTTAAATGCTCGGTGCAAAGGGCCTGACCCCCAGCGCTCTGCAGTGCTCTTGCCGTCCCTGCATGTACACAAATAAGAGGGGGGGGGGGGGGTCTTTGTTATACTAGTGGCTTTGAAGACAATCTCTGCCTACGAGTAGGACTCCTTATTGCAGTGCTCTTTGGTTTTTATGAAATCTTCTAAATGTGCGTGTGGTTCATTAAGGCTGGCATGTTTGTTAAGAAAGTTAATTTTTTAGATGGCTGGGCGAGGGAACTTTTTGAATGACTGAGATTATTAACCTCTTAATGACTATACTTTATGGAACATTAAGTTACGGATAGAGATGTTTAGCCTAGCTTAACATAAGCACCAAGAGCACTGGAAAGCTATCCTAGGTTTTTCCAAAGTTAAAGAATCCACCAAGAAACCCTCAGAGTCAACTTGTTTGGTTAATTTGAACACAAACAGTGAAAGACGGTTACAGTACATAAAGTTACTCCCTTGAAAACAAATTGTCATTTTATGTTTTTGTTGTCATAGGAATATTTTTGGAGAACCAGGATAGCTGTGTCTTTTTTCTAAGCTAACTAGCATGAACTAGAAAACAAAGGTGCAGGTGTACAGAAAAATAATTTTTTTAAATAGGTTGTGTTTATAAAGAGTTTAGGTCCTTGTGCTATACAGTAAGTCGACCCATTAACACCCATTATCCCTTTTTTCACTTCTTTTAGGCGCCTACTAACAGTTTCTCTTTACGTTCAGTGTTTATCAATATATTGCATTTTGTGTATTCTTTTGATTAAATAAACATGTTAAATTAATTTTCTTCATCATGATTTATTTGCAAATCAGATTTTATTTTAACATTTTGAAACATGCGTTTACATCAATGTTAACTTTCAGTCTTCTCCCTAATTGCCTTTATGTGTTTCGTCGCACACCACATATAGATCAGTGGAATAATGTGAAACCACAGTCTACCTTTAAGAATCCTAAAGTTATAAAAGATTATACATCTTGTTTCACACTCTATTAAAGTAAATGAAATAGAATAAATGTCGATCATTTCAACACATAATTGTTTTGGAAACGAGGATATCCACACAAATGTAACATAACACTCGCACAATGTGTTCAGAGTCTATTGTCATCTTCAGCTACAGTAATCGATACAATCAAATGAAATAATAATAATAATACATTTATTTTGGGGGGCGCCTTTCATAACACCCAAGGACACCTTACAGGGCATAGGGGCAATATAGGGAACAATTAAAACAGTGGATTTAGTGAAGTATCAGCCGGGGTAAGACAAGACAAACAACAGGAAATTGACTACAAAAAGGACACAAAAGGACACAGGGTACAGATTATAAAGAAAATGCCAGTATGCCATAATGAAATGAATGTTTAACAATCACTCGCAGTGGCTGGAGTGGAGGTTTGTTTTAGCTCAGGTAGGATTAGCATCAGTGTTGCCTTTGCAGGGAGTCAAACGATTTGAGCTATGGTAGTTGTTTTTATTGTTTTTGTTGTTTTAGCTCCACTGCCTTGACAGTGATACATAGGGTGAGGGTTCAGGGTGTGCTATAGAGCAGAGAAGACAGCATCGTTTCAGGAATCCTTCTCTTTCCCTCTGTCTGGTTTACTTGGTTTCCTCATGTCTCTCACTCTCCTTCACTGTCTCTCTCTTGCTTTGTCTTTCTGTGTCTTTCCATCTTTTTCCAAGCTGATTTGGAGCCTTGCATAGTCAATTATGTAGGGAGTGAGAGATGGAGTGGGGGCTCCAGCTTCCATATTTTGGTGCAATATTAATATTGCATGAGCACTATTCTGTCGCGAATATCTAAGAGACTGCCTATTAAGGCAGCAGCAGGAGAAGAATGTGACACACACACACACACACACACACACACACACACACACACACACACACAGTACAGTACATACATTATTACAGAGACAGCAAAAGAACGGGTGAAAGCGTCAGGATCACGCACAGGTTGTTATAATTAGTGTATCCCAGATATGTTTTGGTGGGATAATAAGAGTGACTAATTTTCCTGTTTAATATGTCATGTTTGTTTATCTTGACACTGCGTACATCCTGCCGTACAGTGAGTGTGTTTGATGTTGGTGAGAACTGAGTGATGTTCCACTGTAATTGTGCTAAGATCGGAATATTTTAACTAACCAACTCAATAAACAAACAAAACAGAGACACAAATAAATGCCTGCTGTTAAAACAAAACATTGGCAAGATAATTGTGATATTGCAAAGCAGAAGTGATCTGATGGCAGGCTATTTATTTTCTGCTGCTGGGTGGATATCAATGATGCATACAGCGAGTGTCAACAGTGACAGGCTGAGAAGATCCCGGGCGATGACTGAGAGGCTCAGCTTGGACACTTGATGCTTTTTTGGGTGCTAAGTGGCGGTGACACCCCTCGGTCTGCAATAGACATCTCATTTGTTGGCACCACAGATTGTGAAAAAGCATCTGATTTTAGGGTGTCATGAGCACAAGCCTCATAAATAAAGTTTGGAAACATAATACAACTTTGTATTTGTTATGACGGTGTTTGGTGACATGGCTGAAATCAACGTCAGATTAACAATATAATGACATCATGAAAAATGTAAGCAAAGTGACATTGATAAATTGGACTGTGTTCAAAGTGTATGCATTACTCTATTATTAACACATTACTGCAATATACTAATAATTGGCTAATCAATTATAATTGTTTTGACAATGTCAGAAAATAGTGAACTAAAATCATTGGTATAGCACAGCGGACTTCTTAAAATGCCCTGTTGGTCCA